TGGTTCGGAGTCACAGCTCTTTCTGTTATGTTAAGTGCTTTTTCATGAAACGCCAGTGCTTTCGCGTAGTGGCCCATATCGTTATACACTAGACCAAGGCAGATATAGGCAGTACCCAAATGGGGGTGACCTTTCGGGAAAATTTTTTGATAGATTTCAAGGGAGTCTTCGTAAAACGAAGCAGCTTCTTTGTATACACATTGGTCCCGTTTCGCCTATCCAAGCTGGTTCTTGATATATCCTTTAGCAGTGTCGTCAGATGTCTGTTGTAGTAGTGTAGTGTATAATTCAGCGGCCTTGTTCAATTAACCAATTTTGAGCAACAATTTACCCATTCGATATCATCCGGTGCCATCGACCTCTTTTCTTACATAGTCGGTTAATCAACGGAGTTGTTGATCGTCATCTGACCTAAGTTTAAAATCCACTTCGTAAAGTTCACTTTTACCAAGTTTTCGAATGTCACCAATTCGAAAGACTATGTGCATGGAGAAGAGAATTTCTTTTTCTTCTGTGAAATAACTCACACCCTGAATGAAGGCGAAAGGAGTCAATGGGATCGTAGGATCGATAGTCATTTGAAAAAGAATACTGACCATATCGTTTGTTTGTAAAATGTCTTTGGCAAATTTGAACGATATATCTCGATTTGAACTGGTGGATCAAAAGTTATTGAAGAAGGCCTCTCCATGATATTGACTGACCTGCTTCGTGTGTAATTGTTCGATTTGTCGATGCACATCATAAAGAAAAAATCCCATTCTTATAATAATGTCACCATCAAGTGTGCGTAAGGTCCGATTGAGCATTTTGAACGTGAAGCTTTCACGTGTATATCACCAAAGGGCCTTTGAAGGTTGATAAGTTCATTGAAACTCATCGATAATTTTGAATTCTTGGGTATTGCCTTGGTATTGATCTTGGCAAATCGTCACCAAGTCTTTAATAACTTGTTGACCATGTTCCATATCAAGAAGAATTTCCTTGAATATTTGTGTATACATGAAAGTAGGTTCTAGCAGATTGAGATTTCCGCTAGAACCTTCTTCATTTAGACTAATGATACTAACCGATATATTCATTTGATTACATTGTTTGACAGTCATTTGCAAGGCTTGACATATGGGTTTGATCGATGTATGGACACCTTTGATTTTAGTCCAATTCTTGGTCCACACTTCATGACGTCGCTTGTTGCCACAAAATATGTAGATCGTATCTACTTTTGCCATTCCATGAATGTGTCACACTAGATGTTGCCTAAGTGCGCCTGAGGAGATGACGAATGATGTCTCCTCATGTGTTTTCCTGGAGCTTTTCAATACATTGTTCGGCTGTAATGCATGGGTTGACTTAATTAATAACCCCGCGAAATTGTTCGACTGTTTTCTGGCAATCTTCATTTGCCATGTCGATATTTCCATCCGCCCAGATGACTAAGTAATTCTCAGCCATGCGTCCTCTTCGTTGCCTGCTCATTTTCGATGTAATGTTTTTTTAGATTGATAATCAAACATGTGAATAACGAATTGTTGTTTGGACAGATATTACCTTTCTATTTATACGTTCGATGTCGGCTATTTTTCTCGACTTTTCTACGATGCCAAACGCGATTGTATTTTTCTTTTGTTGAGACTCAAGGACAAACTCCACCTGGTTTCTTTTGAAAAAATAGTTGTCAACAACAAATGAAAGAAAAAAAATTCAAAAACGTTAACTTTTTATCGTTATTCTTTCCAACTTTCTTTTGCTTTTAATCTACATAAAAGTCACTTGAAAATCAATGCGTTGGATACCATGTTACACTGATTGTTTCGTTTTTCATCAATTCTTTTGAAAAAAAAAGACTTTTCTTATCCTGGCAAGAACGAAAAAAACAACAACAAAGGTATTGTTCGTTTTATTTTTTTCATAATACATATGAGTGATATGCTGATAATGTGAACGAAACTAGACGAATCATAATATCAATATTGATTGAAACAACAATCGCACAACTGTTTCCAATTGCCAACTATAATGCTGAGCATTAATTAGTAATTCAAATAAAATAAGTGTCTTATTGTGCTTAGCCCTCAGTCATATGTATTGTGTCTCATAGTAATTCCAGTAATGATGATGAGCATTATTGGAGTTTTCAAATAACGTAAGATCAAAGTAGCTATCACCAATTTGAAAATAAATGAAAGGCTTGAATGAAGGCTTCATATATAGATATGGCAAGGAAGCGGAAGCTTTATATTGATTATCATTCAAGTTTCATGTAAAAGTCCACAGCAGCTGCTACAGAATTGAAACTGCGTTGTATTTTGACAGCTATCTAATTGTAGCTAAAATCTTTAATCATGTCTTGCACTAAACAGTTCTATGTCTGATTCGAATTCCTATTCCGAATAAGAATAGTCACTACTTTGCAACAGTAGCTGAATTCCGTGGGTTCTAAACTCCTGAAACGCTCAAAAGTGCAGCTTTACTCGTGGAACTCTTGGTACCCACATAATTTCTGGAATTTAAGAAGAATGTGGATGTCAACTTGGGTTCTCTCAAGATCCACAGCCATATCCATCTTTGATTACTCATGAAACGAAGTATATCGTATATTTTTCATCTTTCATGGTATTTCTGGTACCGAAGTTTTTTGGATGTAAGAAACCACTGTGGTTGTTTTAAACTTGTAGATGGACGAAACGTGATGATTTCAATTGTGTTTGAAACGCTACGGTTGACCTATTACCTAAATTAGACCAAATTATGGAGTTCTTACATTTGCTTCATTTGTCGGAGATGCTTCAGCTCTGTGGGTTTCGTTAGTTTCGAGAGTTCTATGAGTTTAGAATTGAAGAACCTGAACATGTATCTTAGGCAGGTTGATGATATCGTAAATGTGTGAGGGAGACTAGCAAAATAAATGTATCTTTTCTCACAACCTTGCTAAAGTGTTTTTTGATTTATCTTGCATCCATTCGAAATATGTGGAAAATAAAAAGAAACTTTGTCTTCTTATAGTATTTTAGCTGCTATTCTCATATCAATTTCTACGAATCATAAAGAAATAATGTTCAAATTTTGTTTGTTCACATTTGAGACTCAAATTATTTTAATATGCATCACAATGACAACGAGAAAACTCTTGCACTATGCAAACGTGTATCACAACAATCATGTGTATAGCAAACGTATTTCGATGGAAAAATACCAGAAGACACGTTTTTATTGAAAGGTTACTTCTGCTTGTATGCATGTGAAAGAGCGTCCCATATGTTAGCATACAGTTGACAAATAATGAAAAGAATCGCTAGCATTTTTATAACTCAAATTAACAGTGATTTTGAAAACACAAATCTTTCGTTCCTAATTCAACAATAACAAAAATAAAACGCCATTATTGCAGTGCATGGTTGATATCTTTGCAAAAATACAGAAGTTTGTTCCATGAAAAATAAAATGGTCGTATCATTGATTACACGGCTGTGTTGGATTTCTTCTGACAATACAACTATGACAGACAAGAAAAAACCACAAAAATAAGTACATTAACAATGAAAGAGTCAACGAAAAAGAAGCATACACAAAAGAATTTTTATTATTATTGACACCGACTTTACTTCTCGTATTCTTGCTTGTACAGTGAGCGATAATGCGAACTCTGAATATGTAAATAAAGGACTTCTAAAAAATTACAATCATATTTTGCTTCCTTCATTTCTAACTCTCGATATGTGGGCGACTTATCAAGAGCTTTTTGAGACTGTCTGTTCGTGTTCTTCTATCGTGTTGACAAATTTGAACCAATAATACTGCCTCAAAATCAATTCGGCATTGTTCATTACATTATATTCATTGTGTTTCTGCCCATGGTCATTGATTCACGAGTATCTGATATCGCGAAAATCTATAGATGAAGTATGTTTTGTACCGTATTGAAAAGATGATTAAAATCGAACAAATGTTCAAGAATCAATTCTTCAGAGCATTCATTCTTTTGATATGACAAAAACGTTGTAAAATTTGTCACAATGTAAAGCAGTTTTTTTAATAAGCTTTGTTATTTTTGAAGATGTTTAGATTGTGACCGTATATAGTTAGAATATGCTATATATAGGACGAAAATAAAATATGTCGCCTTCTAGATGTTTCGTAACTTGTTGGCGAATCATTTATTCATTGTTGTGCTTTGCACGTACAGAGACATATATAAGCAGGCGATGAAACATACTGAACTTGTGCATTTTCGTACATCTGTTTTTCTAGACTACTTTTTGATTAACATTTAGTCGAGAATATATTGAGAGACGAATCAATGATCGAGATTAGATCATATCGAAACGATCTAATCTAGATAAAATCAACTTGACGTGGTTTCATCTTAGCACTCTACCATCTTGTACTCGGAACTGACAACAAAAGCAAGATGGGTCAAAAGAGAGATTCAAATCACGTTATCAGAATATGTTACCAGCTTGCCTAGAGACAAATATCGCAGCGGGCAACTCGTGTGACAAAATACAAGACACGCGAAATATTTTTTATTAGTGTGAATGCATACTGGTTGGCATTATATTGTGCTAAACATATTGAATAACTCAAATAGAAAAATTCATTGTTTTTTTTCTGACTAAAAACTAATTTAAGTTTAGCCTCAAAAAAGAAAAGGCTAAATGGAGTACAAAATGGATATGCCGAGAGTACAGGTTTTCATGGGTCATAAAATGCGGAATTGAGATATTACACTCCAAAATAAAGTACAATTGGCAGCAGAAATAAGATCGGTTTGGTTCCAAAGGAAAACAAGAGCCGTTTATATCTCTTATTGACAGCCCTACTAGATGTGCGGATTACAGTGTAGATTAGAGTGCACAAAAGATCTTCATTCACATCAGTATGAACACGAGAGCGAAGCACAGGACAATTTTTTCATTCTGTATTGTGTCCAGCTCTGACCCATACCTACATTAGAACGCATTAGGTTTAACATTTTTGGACCCGAGCATGATGGACTCTTATCCATATCCATACATTCCCAACGCATTGCCCAGTGACCATTTGCAAAAGCTCTTTTGATATAACAAAGCTAAGAAATAAAAAGGATGGATGATAATGAAAAAGATTTTCTCTCTTACAATCACTCATTCCCCAACCTTCGAATGCATTATAACCTTGAATATCAACGAATGTAAGTTTTAGTGTTTTGACAAGAAGTTTTCCGTTATCTTTTGAACTTTTTCCTTTTCTAAGAATAATAAAATTATTTTCTTAGTTTTTTCTGTTGTCAATTCTTGATTACTTTGAGATACGCCTGTATGTCATCAAGTATATGTTGTCGTAGAAGCTTTATTAAAAATGGAAAAACTAACTAATTTTCTGCATCTTATATTATAGTATTAATCAAAGACACAATTCAATTCGAGTAATATTTACTTAAGAATGAGAAAAAAAATTGAAGAAACAATAAAAAAAAGCACAACAAAAATGATGAGTTCATTAATTAAAGAGAAACAAGATAAAGATTATGTATAAATACGATAAACCTTTTTTTTTGCTTTGCAAATGTTTTTTTTTTTTCTTGAGAATTAAACAGTGACAAATGTCGCTATTAAAAAAAAAGCAAAAGAAGAAGAAAGAAGAAAGAAGAACTCCGTTTATATACAATACAAAGAGAAATAGTAAATTGCATAAATATAAAGGAAAGAAAAGATAAGTTCGTCTATTTGTTCATCATCAATTTTTTTTAAACAAAATCACTTTTAATATTATAATTTTCCATTAATTCGTGGCAGAATCTGTTTAAAAAAATCAGAGCACGTAATCATATACATATACTAAATATTTATTACCAATAATCAATTACGAAAGCATTGTATGAGCAGAAGCACTATCCCGTTCGAGTGAATGCATTCTAATGTGCATATTCAGCTAATGATTAATACAAAACTAATAAATACAATTTTTTTTTTACCTTGCAGTCGATGGTAATTTTCGTGATTGTGGTTGTTGAATAATATCATCATCAGTTTGATCTTCTTCTGGTCTAAATAACAATAAAAATCCATCATAGATGTGGTGTTTTTTTTTAAATTTTTTATTAGTAGAAAATTTCATACTTGGCAAGATAGTTTGGTGTTTGATATTGAGATAATGTAGTTTGCATCAGTTCAGAATCATTTATATCACCAGTATAGAGTGTTCGAGATTGAAGTAATTCAGTTGGATTCATCGATTTGATTTTTTGTTCTAAAATTAATTTAAAACAATAACAACAATTTGTTTTGATGAAGTATTGAAGGATCAACTAAGAAACTCTATAAAATCGCAAACTTTTTCGAAGAATTTTTCATTTTTTCATTCATAACCTGTGGTGTAAAAATTTTAGAACAAAATATTTTTTCATTTTTCGGCAACTAAAAGACAACCACTTTAAATTACAATCAGAATTCTTTACTATTTTCTAAATATGCGGGTAGATTTTTTTTCGAGGGTATGATTGAAGAACTATCAGTAAAAGCAATTATAAGATTTTGAATACCGAACGGAATCAATATAAACTTGTAGAGAAAGACCTCCTCTATCTGATGGCACATGTATTATTAGGTTCTTCTGTGTACCGTTTACATATCAATCGGTAATGTCACTTTTCAACACGTCAACAGTACACATTGAAACTTAATAATGGATATCAAGAAAGTCTTTGTCTACAAACCTACATAGCTTCTTTTCTGTAGTCAAAAATAGCGGTAACTACTAGGTATAGTAAAGTCTATTGGAGAATTTATTCGTATCACATTCAAAAAATACTAATAATCATTTTTCTTTTTAATCTAGTCGACAGCTAGCATTTTCTCGGTTTATCTATGTTCTGACTGATATGGTTTATAAGGCAAGCTATTTAAATTCATAGGATATTTAATTATGATCTTTAGTTTCGATGGCCGACATCGGAGGCTAAAACTGTTCGTGCATATTTTATAAGGCTCCCACCCCCTCAGAAAAGTCAATTTTTCGAAAAAAACTCGATTTTGAGATTTGTACATATTCCGATAGTGCTTGTAACGGACTACAACCTAGCATAATTTCTTTTGCCAAAACATGTATATTGGTTTTTTTTCTGGCGAGTTTTTTTCTGAGGATGTGCTACTGAGATATAAAGGATGTTTCATAATAACTGAGGATACAGTGTTAATGATATTTTTCATACTTTTGTTTGACAGACAGAACTGAAATTTGTATGACATATATAACTAATCAAGATCTTTTAGTTCTAAAAGCTTCAGCCCTATAGCTATGACTGATGATAAAATACATCAATCAAAGTGAAATACATTAGTTTTCGTACTTGATTCTTGCCTCATTTTACAGCAAAAATCGAGTACGAAAACTTATGTATTTTACCATTAGTCATAGTTTTCGAGCTGAAACTTTCAGAACTAAAAGATCTTGATGAGTTATATATGTCATAAAAATTTCAGCTCTCTCGATCAAACAAAAGAATAAAAATATCATTAACGAAAAAGTTGATAAAAACATGTGTGACATGAAGTGACATTTATGTATAAGGAAGTATGACCACAATTTAGGCATGATATGTACTTCTAACCGTATTATGATATATCTACATACACGCCATCAATAAAACTTGAGGAATAGTGCGAAAATATTAGATAAATAAGCAGACTTATTTCGAATAGAGACACTTACTGTATGAAAAAACTTTGTTTTTCGTTTTTCTCAAAATCAGTTTTTTCGAGTATGCTGTTTACACGGGCACACCTTCCTTAATAACGACTCAATAGAGAATGGATAATTTTTTTTTTATTGCATAGAGGACAAGTGAAGCTAGATCCTAATAGAGTCCGACTTTTGAATTTCTCTTCTGCTGAAATAAAAAACTTGGATCTTTCGTTTTGTTTAGCGACTTTTTTGACCATGAATTCGAGAATTTTTCGAAAAACATTTTTTAAAAAACAAACGAAGGAAAATTCAAAAATCGGACTCTATTAGGATCTAGCCTTAAGGGTACGCTACAATTTAAAAACCACGCTGACATGCTTAGCTAATATTCCCATTTTGAAAACCTTGCCCGTGTAAAGGGTATTTTTGAACAATGAATTGACTAGAACTTGTGCATATCTTTGAGATTTGGGGGAGAATATTTTAACCGTAATCTATCCTAACGTAGACTAACATTCTGTGAAAATTTTGGTTGAAATCGAATGAAAAATAACAAAGTTGGTTTCTGAGGGAAGTCCTCCTTCTTAAGGCACTGACTTCTATATAAAATTAAATACTATAATAAGCGAAATCTCATCTACATATTTTTACTCAGGAATTAGTTTATATGAAAATCTACATAGGTCAAAAAATCGCTGTTTCAAAAGCACAACATTTTCAACATTTGTCATGCAATAATAAATACTATTCGTCGATAAAATTGACGAGATTAGTGTTGTGTGCAAGCACTATTTTGAACATTTCGAAACAATCAGATGACAATTATTCACTCTTACTTTGGAATGAAATTCTAAATACATATTCGAAAAGAGCAAAAAATTCGGATTCTGGCTATCATCAATTGTCTTTTCATAACCAAAAAATGAGAGAATATTTTGTGCCATTGGTTAGTTTTAACAATTTCTCTTTCTTTTCATAATCCAAAATTTTATTCTGGCGTGTGTCTAGTACCTGTAAAAGAAGTTTCAACTCGATCGAACATAGTATCTCAGAGAAACATGGAAAGGATACTATTGAAAACTCATGTTAAGTATTATAACTGTTATTGAACAATCAACATTGCACCCAGGAGAAAAAAGCTTAGACTTTAGACTTGAAGTTCTCTATTTTCTCTTCGTATTTAAAAGACTTTAATTTACCTTCCTCTTGTTTCATTTGTAATAATTCATGTTCATTAATATATTTAAATTGTCGAGCTAAAAGAAACTATTTAATTGAAGAAAAAAACAAAAACAAAAGCTTTGTTTCAATATACGTTTTGGTTTAGGTCCAGAATCTTTGAATCCACTTTCAAAAAATTTTTTCTTATCTTTAAATGATCGTTCTGATTCTGTTACCGAGAAATCAGACTAAATAAAAAAAAAACCAGAAATATATTGTAAAATTTTTGTTTTCCAAAAATCAAATTATTTTACTTCATCAATTTCAAAACCATTATGTGATGGTAGTTTTTTTTGTTTATGATTATCACCATTAATCGGTACAAATTGTGTATTTGGTGCTCGATATTTTGGTTTAGCAGGAACAGGTGGTGGTTGAGGTGATTGTTGTTGTTTAATATTTGTATTTGCATAAACAGGACTCGTTACTTTTGGTGACTGTGAAGTATTATGAGATGATGATATGCCATTATGTCTTATTGGTGGTACTGGTGAACTAGATTGTTGTGTCAATGATGATCGATTAGTATCAATTTGTTTTGATGATTTCGTTGGACTAATTATAGTATTCGTCTAAATTTAAAAAAAAAGAATTAATTTTTCTCATTGAAACAGACATTAATTAAAAGAATATTTTACTTCTTTAGGTTTAAATCCATGACAAATTAATAAATTAATTGTTTCAGTTGGTACACTAAGCCATTTTTGAGCATCATCTAATCGAGCACCAAATAAACTTTGATTATTAACCTAAATTAAATGAAAATCGTAAGATTAAAAGAAAATAATAATAATAAATTCCAGTGTTTTAGCCAGATTTTCTTCTACAAAGGAGTAATTTAAAATTTCAGGAGAGTAAACATCTATGTTTGGGAATACAGACGCGTAGTACATGGTACAATAAACATAAACTCCCGGAGGTACAATCTGTTTATTGTAATGATCCCACCCGCATATTAAATAAAACATTGATAAGTTCCCTTTTATCTTTTAGCCTCATTCGTTGTACTCGAATATTTTATTATTCTATTAAGATTTATCTGATAATCTATAATAAGATTACGGACTTCATATATAATTATACACAATACATCAAAATAAATAATTAAAAACTAAAAAGTCTCATCATAATTTCATAGAGAACAGCTCGAACAAACATCTGATCAAGTCCCGGTGCTTGTTCAGGTGTATTTCTAATAGCTAGAATTTCTTCTACATTATCATGTAAATCAGAAGATGTTTCTTGTGCAACTTGTTGTAATGATGATGCTAACGCATCAAGTATTTCATTTCGTTGATTATTATTATTATTATCAACTATTGAATGAATAGTATAAACAATTTCATTAAATTCATTTAAATTTAATTGTTTTGTTTCATCTATTGAAGCATATTCTTCAGATGGTAGAGATGATAAATTAGATTCTTCATTAATTAAACTAGTTGAAGATAAATACATTTCTTTAGCATATAAAAGATTTGAGGAACGATTAGAAATTCTTTCTAAATTATTATTATTATTGTTATTATCAGAATCACTTTTAATTGAGGATAGACTTTCACTGGAACAATAAGGACAATCTTTTTCAAGAATTTCTTCTTCAAAAGAATATTGACTATAATTTAAACTTGATTTAAGATGATAAAATGATGATGATGTATTCGATTCAACCATTGATGATTCAAGTGTTGAAATTGTTGATGGTGAATCAAATAATAAAGATAAACATTTATATGAAGGTTGAGGAGCTATTGTTATTTCTGTTGAGGATTGTTCTGATGGAAGTATTGATTTAATATTGTTTGTTGTTATTTGTGTTGGAATAGCTGAAGATTCTACTAGTATAGGTATTGGTTGAATATTGTTTGATGAAGATACTGATGTTTCTGGGAGTGATGTTGAAATTAAATCTTTAGATTTAATAATTGGTATAGAAATTTGTTGTGTAGTTATTAATTCTTTTTTCTCTTTCTTCTTTTTCTTTTTCTTATGAAATAATCTTGATAAACCACATGATTTTGTTTCATTTGTGTTTCGTTGTCGATGATGGTTTTTTTTTCTTTTATATTCATTAAACTGTGAACATTTTTGTTTTTTTGATGATTTCTCAAATGAAGATATTCGATTTAAATGTGTAATATCATCAAGATTTGTTTCATAATAATCTCTTATTGTATCATCAATTGGTATTGTTAATAATGATGAATTACTATTTGTTAATATAGATTTTTGTGAAAGACAATGCCATTGTCTATCAAAAATGTTATTGACTGCCTAGAATAAGTGATTTTTCTAGACGACTATGTCGAAATTCATCATATAAGCGATTACTAGGCGAAGATACATATAAAGCAAATAGCATTTTTGATCGATGAATAAATAGTTTATATGAAATTTAAATCAAATCATAATCATCTGCAATTATAAATCATCAACAGTGCCCAGTTTTATTTTGTTTTCTTTTTCTTGATGTTATTTGGTGATAATCATTCATCTTAGAGAATATAAACTCATATTTAATCATAAAACTATATATATATATATAATCAACGAATGAGGCAAAAAGAAAACCTGTCAATCATGGTGATGATAAATGAGGGCAAAAAAAAAAAAGCTTTTATTGATCTTACCTCAAGAATTCGTGTACCAACAGTAAGAATACCAGATGCTGGACTACCATCTTTTACCTTTAAATCAAAAAAAAAAATACTTATTTAACAAACAGAAAAGAAATGATAAAACAAGAAAACAAACTTCAGTAACAAATATTCCATCATCTTCTGGATCATCTGAATTAACACGTTTTCCTTCAACACCACCATTTATTCGAATACCAAGTGGTTCACCTGCGTGTCTTGTTAATGTTACTTCCTAAATAATCATGAAATATAACATAAAACTTTGGAAATTTTTTTTTTTTTTTTGCTGTATTTACTTTTAATCCTAATGGTTGTGGATCATGATGTACAAGCAAAACAACTTCATTTGTCGGTTGTAAAAGTGCTTCTACAGCTTCTAAATGTGTTGCTTGTGATACATCACGATTATTGACTTTTAATATTCGATCACCAATACGAAGATTTGTACGAGAAGCTGATCCATTTGGAAGAATCTATTCAACGAGATGATGTTTTTTTAAATTTCGAAAATATAGATGGTCTTTTCAACTTGTATAACATCTTTTTTCTTACTGACAAACTGAATTTTTCATCTATTATTAGGTATATATTGAGAAATCAAATAATAGAATGTCAATCTGACATTTCTTCCATAAATAGATATATCCAAGTCAATGATTTCGGTACATGGACCTGTGAATTTCCGACCGAAATAGGGCCGGTATTTTTTTTTATTTGGATGATAATGATAACTCTTAGAATATCGTGAAAGTTATGTTCTTTTGTCGAAATATTAAATTTTCAAATAAAAATCTTTTACGACAAAAATGTCATAATTTAAAAACTTAGTATCTCGATGAAGCACCATTTTTGTCCAAGAAAACTTTCAGGATATTCTAAGAATTGTTCGATCTATCTATGGACAATTGAAATGATTCGATTGCGAGAAAAAAAAAACGTTTCAGTAAGAAGAATCCTGTTTTAGATTTCTCTGATTTTAGTTTGTTAGTCATTCAATATCGTATTATCTTACTTTGGAAACAAATACACCACGTTGTTTCATACCAAATGGTGGACATGCTTGATCAATACCACCAACAATACTTAAACCCATTGGACCATTACCTTTAGCAACACGTGCTTCCTAAATATTTCATAGAAAAATTTCTAAAAAAAAAAAATTATTTTTCATTTGAAACTAACTTCAATTGTATTATCAATATTTGTTGTTGTAACTATATTATGATTTCCATTAGTATATTTTTCACGGTAGACAACTAATTCAACATTATTTCCACCATTATTAATAATATCAATAGCTTGATCATGAGTTATATTTCCTGTATCATGACCATTTATAGATAAAAGACGATCACCAACAGCTAATAATGAACTTTTATCATGATTATTAACTTTTGATATATATAAATTTTCATTTGCATTTATTGTTGCTGTTTGATTTCCACCAGCAATTGAAAAACCAAAATGTCCACCTTGTTTTTCATCACGTTGAATAATTGTAGAAAATTTTTCACCTTCTTTTATAAAATTATTTTCATTATAATTATCTGATGATTGTAAAATTTCACGAATAACAACCATTTCAATATTATCACCGGCTTTTTTTAAAGCAGATACAGCTTCACTATGTTCACAATTTATTAATGAAATTCCATTAACAGATAATAATTTATCACCAACAAGTAAACCAGCTTGAGCTGCTGGTCCTTCTTCATTAATTTTTGTTAAAAATATTCCCTAAAATAAAATAAAATAAAACAAAATTATTAAAGGAAAAACAATTGTTTTTTGCTTTCTTTTACATAATCATTATCTTTAAAAGGTGTTGAACCAATACCACCAGCAATACTAATACCAAGACCAGTATTATGTGAACGACGAATTATAAGTGTTAGTTGTTCTTGATGAATTGTCATGGGACGAGTATTTGTTTGAATAGATGATGATCTCGACTAAAAAATAAAGATTAATTATTAGTTTTTATATTTTTATGACACAGAAATCAATAGAAATTCATATTAGAGATATACAGGATATGCTATTTTCTTAATCTTACCCTACTCTGTAGAATAGAGCACTGAAGGTATATCTTTCTACGAATCAGCATCCAAGTCTGTAAGAACTTGTAGTTCCTTAATGCAAGATAGAGTAACTCGGTACATCTCTAATTTGTATCACAATGCGAAACGCTTTGTTGAATAAATGATTCAAAATCTTTATATTGTTTGAATATGTTTGTGACATACTACTATGTTAAATTAGGTTGATGTATTTTCTTCAAATTCATAGTTTTACTTTTAAATTAATGAAGTTTTTCATTTTGAATAAAACTTCTACATGCAATTGCATCAATCATATAGTTTTTTTCTATTCGTTTCTTGACATACTTCTTTTCCTGGACTTGTTAATGATGATTTTGTTGAACTATGTGACATAATTTGCTAGAAAAATTCATATTAAAAAGTCAAATTTTCAAGAAAAAATAGAATCCTTACATCAAATGTAATTGAATCGTTATTTTTATTAATAATACGTTTATTTTTTAAATGATGTGGTGTGTCACGTCGATGAAGTTTTTGTTGATGTTGATGATCTCTTGTATTATCTTCATCATTATTTAAATCATCTGTAAATTCAACATGTTTTTCAATGTAATGTACGTGTTCACCGGCATGTTCTCTGTTTTCATCCTTAATTTATAAATAAAATAATTTAACAAAAAATAACTATATAATGTGTCAATTATTAAAAAAACGATATATAAAAATCAATTGGGAAAGTAAGTTAATTCGACTCAAAACTGCAACGAAGGATACTAGTGACAACATTTACATGATATTTTTTTGGTTCCATTTACTCAGTATAGAACCAGGAAAAGAAGTATGCCTCCTTTCAGTTTAACGTCTGAGGGTTATTGAGGAAAGCATTTTCTTTTATACCACTGGCTGACTAGTCACGAACTATGCTTGTATTTTAAAATTGTCAATTTTCATGTTAAATAAATACAATACTCGGGATCAGCGTAAAGCAATACATTCGACAGCTTATATTTTATTAAAAAACTATTTTCCATCGAAATTCGATCCGTACCTTCCTTCGCTGCTTTTCAATCAATTTTGGTCGATGGTCCGCTACGAGTCAAATTTCGTCGGATTACGCGTTTTTTTTTGATAAAATATAAACCACCCAATGCAATACTTTACGGCGAGCACGAAAATCGTATTTATTTTGCATGAAAATAAAAATGATCTCGAAATACGACCACATTTCGAAAGCATTTAGCCAGTAGTATGAAAATTAAAAACTTTTCTCAAAAAAGAAAAAAAAACAATCAAACTTTGAACTAAAAGGATATGTAATTCACTTCCTGGCTTCATGCTGAGTACAGGAGAGAAAAGATGTTTCCTAATTCATCGAGCTAACTAGACATAATGCTAATACGTTTTTCCGAATGTTTAGGCAGAGAGTTTCCGTAAAATATTGATGTAGTAAATTTTCTCAGATGTGATATGCACATTTTCATAGGACACTATAAACCATACATGGTCAATTTTTAGATGAAGCAATTAAGTTTTAAATAACTCCATTTTGTTTTTTTCCTCCAATAGTGAAGAATCAAATAAAAAGCTACAAAGAAAAAGTGTTCACTATTGGTAATGAGAGTATTAAAAATTCCAACTGAGAATAAATGATTTCTCTGTACTTTTGTGAGACTTTCTCTCTAAGCTCTTCCATCTTCCAAGAAGAATTAAATGAAAACTATATAAATACTGAAATGACGTTACCGACATAGGTCTCATGGGAATACCGATTATACTGAAATTTGAGTTCGCTGCAATATTGAAACACCAACTCTATCAAAAACTATTCTTTTCATAGTACTGTACATTAACTATATTGAGTCGAAGTTCAGTAAACTGAAACTGTATATCTCTATTTATTGTAGGATTTGTCGAACTGTTATTACTAATATCTCAATTGATTTTTTGGTTGTTTTTTTTAAATTGCTAGTACATTAAATTTATACTTGACATACATCTGAATCATGATGATCAGCTGATAGTTCAGGTGGAACATAATCAATGGATTCTTGCATCATATTTGATGAATCTTAAATAAATAACAGGAAATTCTTTTTCTCATGTGTTTTCTTTTTACTTTGTGAATCAAATTTACCTGTAGTCGTTTTATTTTGTTGATTCGTTGATGAAAATGATTGTCCTGATGATAAAGAAACTTGTGTTGAATCTTTTAATACATGTTTATGAGCATTTGGTTGATATGGATGATGATCATGATGAAGTAAATTTCCATCTGTAGCATGAAATTTTTTTGCAATTTTATTTCTCCATGTACGTAAATCTTTTGGATGTGGAGTATTATGACGTTGTAATGAACTCTAGAAAATTTTCAAAAAAATTTCTATTATTTTTTGTATAAAAATGAATTAATCAATATTCATACTTCTTTTCCTTCATCGGATTGATCAGCAAATTTAACTGAACCAGTACGTTCATGTCGATCATCAATTTGTGGTGAATGAGTTTTGTTTTCATCATGTTCTGGATAAGAGGGTGTGGATATTGAAGGTATCTTTGCTGTTTCACTACTGATATGTTGAGATTTTGAAACATTTAGAAGATTTTCTATAGAATATTAAAAAAAAAACAAATATTTATAGGAACCATAAAAATGTCAGTATTGAAAAAAAAATAAAATGCAAATATCCAAATAATAGTTTTAACAAAAAGAAAAGTATGAAATTAATAATAATATAGCATGAAGTATTCGATAGAAAACAAACCATTGAAAAACCCAATAGAAAATAAAAAAGATTTTCTAAAGATAAAAATTAGAATTTACCCTCATCAGGATCATTGAAATGTATATGTATTGGTATAATTTGGAGTGTCATCATAGGAAAAAGGATTATGATTAATAATTCTTCTTTTTTTTTATTGTACTCGATAAAAAAAAATTAACTCAAAATTTAAATAAATAAAACTCAATTTTGAAAAAACAAAAACAGTTTTCATTATCAAACAAAATGACTTATAAATCTATTCCTTATATCGTACATACCCATTGATGATGTTGTATATTGTTGTTGTGGAAGTAAATAACAGGTGAGTACTTTTTCACCGGTTGTTGAATCAATATCTGTTGCAAATTTTAACATTGGTTGTGCTTGATTTTCTGCTAACCATATAGCTTTTAAATCACAATCAAGTAATGTACATGGTAAATTTAATAAACGATTTCCTGATAGATCAAGAACATGTAAATGTTTTAATTTTGATAATTCTGATGGTATATGTGTTAAACGATTATCACGTAAACCAAGCATACCTAATGATTCACATCCGGCAATCTATTAAAGTAAAACAAGAAAAAAAAAATTAATTTCTAGAAGAATAAATAGCAACTATAAGCTTTTGACTACAGAAACAAATATATGTATGCTTCTAGAAAAGAGTATTCTTCATATGCATTATTACGTTTTACTACTATAAAGATATAGGAAATTCAAAATTTTAGCAAATTTTTTTTGTTTAAAATTGTTTTACAGAACATAATGATTTAATAGTGAACAAATACTTCTACATTTTTGGAAATAGTAGCAAAAAGATTAAATTCTAAATATGATTATTAGAGTCGTCCATTATCACAGATATCTGTATGTTCTTTTTTTTTTCATTTTGTAGAACATTATAACGACTATATATCCTGATTGTGAAGTCAATTGATGTACACCAAAATAGATCAAATAATGTTCTACAAAAAGAGAAGAAAAACAACATCGACATATCTATGATAATGGACAACTCTAATCATGATGTTTGAATTTAGTTTCTTTTTCAATATTTCCAAAACAGGAAAAATTAATTTTCCATAGGTAATTCGATGTGCTCTTTCAAACGATATTAAATAAAAATTTGATAACATATTGAATTTCCGAAAGTTCAAATCATTAGACAGAAGAAGTCTGTTCTATAGTTAAAATTTTGGAGTGATCCGTCAAAATATTTACTTCAACAGGTAAATGTGATAATTGATTACGATCAATATTTAAATTTGTTAATTTTTTTAGTTTTCCAATCGTTAGTGGAAGTTCTGTTAATGCATTTTCAGTTAAAATTAATTCTGTCAATGCTAAACATTGTCCAATTTCGTCACATAATTTTGTTAAACTGTTCGAATTAAGTTTTAATATTAATAAACGTTGTGTAAGTCGACCAATTGTTGATGGTAATTGTTCAATTTGATTTGATGATAATTCAAGATTAGTTAATGATTCTAACTCTCCAATTTCATTTGGTAAAAAAGTTAATTTATTTTCTGATACATCTAAACATTGTAAACGTTTTAATTGACCAATTTCATTTGGTAATTCATGTAATTCATTGGAATCTAACCATAATTCTTTTAATGATTGTAAATTACCCATTTGATTTGGAAGTTGTTCAATAACATTTGAACCCAAATCAAGTGATTCAAGTTTAGGTAATTGTACAAGTGAATCAGGTAAAATTTTGAGCAAATTTTCTCGAACTTCAAGCACACGTAAATTGGAAAGGCTAAAAAACAATCAAACAATTCTTTATAGTTTCTCCTATTTTCTTTTCTTTACAATGTATTACGTTTAAAAACAAAAATGAGGGCGTAAATTACTAATTAAGAATAGATTCTACTGCTAAGCTATATCCGGATCAAACTAATTTCAAAATGTTGTAATGAATGTAATTAGAAAAGTTTGTTTTTAGTAAGTAGCAATATTTATTTCGAGTAGCTAGAAATATATTTTTAATATTGTGTTAATTAAAGCCTTCACGAATGATGGAAAAATAGTTTTTTTAACTTTCGATTACATAACGTGTGTATATACAGACTGACATTTTATGCAGATTATAATTTTTATAATCTTAGGTCATTAAGTATTCTTTTTTCCTTTCATGCTTTTAATAATAGGTGATAGAACAGTAATTAGATGAAATCTTCATTTATTTTTCAGCTTTTTTAAACAGTCTGTAAAAATTTGAAAATATGAGATTAGAATGAGAGTTTTGTATTCTTTGTAAATGTATTGATTCACAATTTTTGTAAGACTTTTGGTTTTGGAGTTATGAGTTAGTGTTTTTCATACGTGAAAATTAAGTTCAAACAGGAGACTTTGACCTACTATAGTCTCATATACTACATACATTATAGCATCAATTTTTTTCTATAGAATTAAAAGTAAAATTGTTTTTTACAAAATGCTATAAGAATCAAGAATTTTGGAACAATTATTCAGGAATGTCCAAGCTCACTTTTCAAGTTTGTTTTTCATAGAAATTTCTCTCAAATAACACGATATTTTTTTTACCAAATTCCTCACTGTTGACAAATGACTTGCAGAAAACTAATCATTAGTGTACCACATTATAGAGAAAATGTTTACTGATTCACCCTTCGTATTTGAAACAATTCTTGCTTAAACTCGCCAAAACTTAATTGATGAACTTCTAAAAAGTCAACGCATAACCTCTCACACCAGAAGTCTTACAAAACTTTTTAAACCAATATATTCTGAAAGAACACGAACTTATGATTACAATTTAATGTTTTCAAGTTATTGCAGGCTTCTTAAAAAGACTGACAAATGAATGAACACTATGTTTGATTAGTTTTCGATTACTTATTATTATATGACATTACTGTACATATGTATCAAAAAGAGAAGAAGAAATTATGGATTACGGTTCTCTATCATCAGAGTTGTATCAAATGTTGTAACAGCAAATAGGAGTCAGTAGAGTTATAGAAAGTTACAATTACTGTTAAAGTTGTGATTTTTTAGAAGACCAGAAGTTAAATTTTATTAGATCTATATTATCACTGTGTTATTCAGTGTAAAGGTTGAGGAAATGATGCCTCTTCAAAGATCAAGTTGGCTCTGGTTAAGGAGATAATCTGGATAAAATACTGTATATGATGAAATAGAATCATTCAATTATTTCTAAAGTTATGGTAAAGATTCTACAAGGTTTCAGTCAACTCTACTTGACTTTGCAAATACTTCGTAAACAATCGTTTATTAGTCTGTAAAAGTCTCTATGGAATGTTATGAATTTCAAAATGTAAAAACTATTCAAACTATTTCACAGAATAAAAATAATATCGAAGATCAATATACAAGAAACGTATTAGATCTTTTATTAGATAGTTCAGTATCACTGAATGAGTATTAAAAAAAAATAGGAAGCATTCTTTTGGATCATTGACACACTCAACTACGTTTAGGGCATTGGTGTCGAGACAGCCAACAAGGAATTTCTTGTAAATGAGAATGATCATGCAGGAAAAAAAAAAGTAATGTTTTGATTTACGTAAACTATTCAACTTGTATTCTCTAAAGGATAAGAAATCAATACTTATATATTGTCCCTACGGATACCTTTCTTTATTCATGTATTAACATAAATGTCACCATACACTGTCGTTACTATATTTCAAGTAATACATAAACAACGAATGACTTTCAAATGTCGAAAAAAACAAAATATGATTAATGATTAATTTTTATGATATTAACAAAATTAACTCGAAAAGTATTTTTTTTTCAAGTACCTGCCAATTTCTCTTGGTAATTCAGCAAGTGAAACATCATTTAATGTTAATTGAATTAATTGTCGAAGATGAATTATACCAGCAGGAAGACTAAACAAGAGAAAAGAAAAACAATATTTTTACAATATTACAAAAAAATATTTTTCTTTAAATTACTTATTTGCTAAAGGATTTCCACTACAATCAAGTCTTTGTAATGATCGACAATGACGAATATTATCCGGAATTTCTGCTATGTCTATAACATAAATAATAGTTTTCATTTTAAAAGAAAAAAGAAAAATTTTTAAAACCATTTCTTGAACAATCAAGTTCTTCTAGATTAACTAATTGTCCAATTTCAGGTGATATATATTGAATTTCATTATCACTAAATGTTAAACGACGTAATTGTGTTAAACGATAAACACCCTAAGATATAATATTAGAAAATATAAACAAAAAGAAGAATGCACTAAGTATTTAAAAAAACAAACCTTAGGTAAATCTTGAAGTTGATTAGCATCAAGTAATAATTCTTCTAATGTACGTGTATAACGAAGAATATCATCAGGTACTGTTGTTAAATTACAATGACGTTTATCAATTTGTTCCAAATTTCTACTACAAAATGGAATTGGAAAACACTTAAACATGATTTTTTGTTGTTGTTGTTGTTGTTGATGATGATGATGATGATATTTATTCGGACAGATAATTGAATAAGGTAATAAACCAATGAATAATTTTTGTGTTTATCTGACCAGTCTCAAACATTGTCGTCGTTTTCTCATCTGCAATAATACATATAGAAATTTAACACTCCTCTTTCTCACCTTCACACAATCCGTTTGTACATGAACGAAGACGAGAAAATGCTTTTCTTTCTTTTTTTTCTTTTTCTCTTCATTCAAGGATAAAGAATAAAATTTTATGCTCTATGCTAAAGACATATATATATATATACAGTATACGTATGTGCGTTCACATACACTCGGGACAACGTTCATCGCGTGTCGACATGTTCTGTTAAATAAGTCCACTAGAACGATAGTAGAGCAGAAAGGAGAGAATAGCATAGTACAAGGAAATTAAAGAGCGATCGTCGAAAGGAAACAGAACGGAAGACACGAGAAAGAACGATGAGCCAAAAGAACGAGAAAGAACCAGTAATAGCGATCATGATCATCATCGACAGCAGTTGCACTAAAGCATATAATGAGATCAAAGGTTATTATGTTTGTACAAAAAAAAAAAGAAACGAAGAAATAAAAGTAAAAATGATGATAATCGAATTTTTTTTCTTGTTAGACAATCTGAAACTATTAGAAAAAGAAAAGTGCAATATGATCTATTAAATGATAAATTTATATTTCGAACGATGTACATTTGCTATTGTAACAAGTTAATGTAAATTGACACATATTCTTTTTTTTTCATGGTGACTACTCACATAGTGTATCTCCTTGTAGAATGCAAAAAAAAAAGAATCAAATGATGCGCATATGTGCGTGTGCGACAGCTTGAGTCGAGATGGCACACGAATAAGGACGATTTCCTAACGTCATTATTACATCAAGAAAGCGCAGTATGAGCATTTATTTCTCAAGAGTTTAGAAATATATAGAGAAGGAAGTTATATTTGCTAGTTGCCATTATTATCAAGTCGATGAATGATTGTCTCTTTTTCTTCTCTTCGTCTTGAGTCTTCGAGAGTCTATCGCACTGATTATGATAATACTACCAAGTGGATATATATGTGTGTGAAAAGCAGAACTGACAAGAAATTACATAAAAAGAAATGCCAGAGAAACATGCGAGAGAAATGTATGTCGTTATTAGTGTAAGTTACAGTTATACTATAAGAAAAGAAAGAAAAAAAATTCTGGCGGAGATTCATGCTGATTCAAATGTCGGATATTATTCGCTTTTCCTCTAGTTAACAAAAAAAAATAAGGAAACGATAAATAAGATAGAATCAATATGGTTGATGTATTAAACATGTTTCAATAGAAGAGAAAATAAAAACGATCAAATTAAATCTCCTATACTAACTAAATATATAATTTAAATCGATCATAACCATATGATAAATTTCATATGTCTATAGTTATTCAAAGCCTTTCGTTTCTTCTTCTTCCCTCATCATAACTTGTCGATTGGTCAACCTAACAAGGTTAATAACAAAAAAAGAAAAGAAAAACAGACAAGTAATACTTAAAACGAGTCAAATAAAGGAAATAACAATCTAAAAAAATGAAGAATAAAAAAAAGAAAGGAAAAGTTTTCTTATTTTTTCTTATTGTTTCTCGATTTGTTTTGTTTTTTGGGATTGTGATTCTTTTTTTTTCATTCCATTCCTTCTTTGTCTCATCAACTCATTATGTCCAATCATAGTGTTTAGCCTTTGTAAGAAGATAATAGCCAATAATATATATTTTGACCATAGATGTCATTGTCTTCCTTTAAATTTATTCTTTTGAATGTACATAAATTGTGAAAAAAGTTTAATTGAATTAAAAAAATGCATTGAAGATTTTAAGTTTTTTTTTTTCATAGAAAATAAATTATTGTACTCAATCGGAGTTTCTAAAAATATTTTCGAAATAAATTATGAACGAAAAAATTCTTATTGATTTTGTTCATTATTAAACTTCTTACAAAAATAATTGAAAGAAGTTTTTGACGTATAAAATATAATGTCGCAAAAAGAATGTAATTTATTTATGATAAAAAAAAACAAAAACATTGTTCTGACGACAAAGTAGTAGTATAATGTTAATCGGCTTATCATTTTTCATAAAAAGAAACAATAACAAATAATTAAGCAAAATTTTATTTCAAACACTATTACAATACGAAAACTCAAGATATTATATAAAAATAACAAAATATGCTAGAATTTTGAAGAAAAATGTCTTATTTCTATTTGTTATTTAAATCTTCATAGACCCTTGATATGAACTGATGATTTATCAATTGAATTTTTAGTATGATAATTCAACTGGAAATAAACGACTATTCAATTGTTCTGCTTGATAAAATTGATGAGATTTCTATCTATTAAACGCCGGTCCTATTAGATATTTATTCTTGATAAAATATTCAAAGATCTATTCGATAAAAATTTTAATAATAATATCTCTACATTTCTTATATATGGTTTTTAATAAAAATAACATGTAAATGAGAAACTCTTATAGTTTATTTGCCTTTCTTTCTAGTTCTATTATTAAAGAATAAATGATCATAAAGATTCAATATTCTAGTTCTTATTTTCAAAGTTTCAAATAAAATAACACTTAATTATTTTTATGCATCTGAAGCCAACCTTTTTATGTATAGATTAGAATCTTTATAAATGCTACACAAAAGCATATACATGTTTTTTTTTTCTATTGGCATTAATACATATATATATATACAAATGCCATATATATATATATAGATATTTAAAAGATCCATTAGTAGAATGTTAGATATTTAGATGCATCAAACATCATTATTGATAGTTATTTCATTTCTGTATTTGTTTTTCTTTTGTTTCGAGTTGTGAGAGAATAACAATGAAATTCATTACGGAGTCTGATTCAAGTTCAGAAAACGGTTGGACTATTTTGAGTCTGACAGTATAAACAAGTCTCGATTAGTTATGCAACAATATGTATTTATATATATGTCAGATGAGTACATTAAAACTAACTGTAATTCAATAGGTAGCGCTTGTCACATGAATGAGTCTGATATCCTGTGGCGTTTTTTTGGTTTAAGATAAGATAAACTACATTCACTCACATACATGTCTTACATAAAAACGGGTGTCTGCAGATTGTGTTTACCGGCTTGAGAACCTATCATCTGCTACTTTATGTTTAACTCTTTTGTGCCCGGCTTTTCATAACAATGTGAATATATGTAGGTGACGTATCAGTTAAGCCAAAAAAACAGACTATTTTGTCTGAATAAATAATCAAATATTTTAATTAAAAATAAAATTAACACTCATTTCTGTTGATATCCCCGTATGAGATTAAAAGAAGACAATTAAAAACAATCCTCGTAGTACAAAATTTAAATAAATTATTTTTTAATTTACGAAAATTAATCAAATATTAATATAACACATTTTTTTAATAAGACTTAAGATTAGTTATTAAAAGAGAGAAAGTACATTTCAAAAGGTACAATTACTCTAACGAGGAAAGGTCCCCAAGTGTGCGACTCAGTTTTGAATGAGATAGATACCACTTTGTAGAGGTCGACGAGCTGATTCTCGTAGTATGTTTCGTTTTTGCCCATAGAACTTCAAATGAGTAAAACAGATCGATTTTACTAATGAATTTCTTCACTTTGGATAAGTATCGAAACAATTGTTAATAATTTGGGGATTAAAGTGTACTTAAAGCTTGAATGATCATGTTAAAACATAGGTAATACCACATGTGAGCATATTACTATATTATTTTAAATGAAAGTTAAGCTTCAACTTCTGGATACATAATAAAGTTTTTTTCTCAGGATCACTAAAGTTCCTACAAGTATAATAATTCTACAATTAAAATTCACAGTGATGAAGAAATTGAATTTTTTCAAGGAAGTACTGTTCTCCTATGCTTTTAAAATAATTAATAATAGAATTTCACATGTGGGATTACCTATGTTTTAACATGACCATTTAAACCTTAAGTACCCATTATGTCTCAAATTACTAACAATTGTCTCGAAACTTATCCAAAGTGAAGAAATTCACTAGTAAAATTGATCTGTTTTACTCATTTGAAGTTCTATGGGCAAAAACGAAACATACCACGAGAATCAGCTCGTCGACCTCTACAAAGTGGTATCTATCCCATTCAAAACTGAGACTCACGCTTGAGGACCTTCGCTCGTAAGAATTTTTCTTTTGAAGTTGTTCTGAGTCAAATCAAACATCAAGCTTTGAATGATATTCGAATCAAAAATTTCATGATTGTTGAACTTTCGATTCAAAGAACGTGATGTTACTTTTAGAAGAATTAATCATTTAATTGAATTTTCAAGAAAAAAGTTTAAAAAGAAAAACCAACACAAAGTCTTTGCTATTTAATCTAATCTTTATTCTTATGATGATATGCTTATGTAAAGAATACCATTAATACAAAAATACTGTTTCGAGTTTCTTAAGTGATTCATGTGAAAAACATTAAAGTTCATTTCATGGATGTAATTTTGTGCGAATGAATAGTTTATAGTAGGACTAAGAAGTGATCATCATGCTTGAACATTGTTGAGATGCCGATCAGAGTCGCATAATTTAGATTCCAAAACGTGGGTGATTCATCTCAACTCAACTCATAGATTCTTAAACTTATTAGTCCATTCAATTGAACTTGATCGGGTAGTTCTAAGAGAAATGCTTCCAATTCATTTTGTCCAATTTACAAATTGAATTATGTTCAATTAATCGTGTTTGAAATGAATTTTTCAATTCTGATTTCGGTCATATATCTTTCCATTCATTTTAATTTTATCCTCTAATACTTATATACTCACTTCTACTCCACCTTAAATTCAACAAAAATTACATAAGTTGGTGAATACAATGTATTAGATAGGAAACTCTCTTGTTTATTGCAATTATTATCTGAGTTTTAGTTAATCGCTTTAAAATTATAGA